AACAAATCAAACTTTATAGTGAAACTTTCGATAAAGCAAACAGGTCTTTGCAAGTAAAACCAACTGAGTATGCTAGTATGTTTCTAGGTTCCTATTGGAAATATATTTAATTACAAAAGAAGTAAGGTTAATCAAATGTTGCAGTTTGATCATAGTTGGCGGAGTTAAAGGCGGCGTTTATCCATGATATCTACCAATCCATGTAGACACCGAAAGCTGAGGGAAGTGAAATCTTATCCTTAGGTTAAAGGAAAATGGTAAAGGGACTGATAACTCCAGGACACAAGACGAGTGTTATGCTTGGAACAGAAGTGACTACAGGGAGTATGAATGAATGGAATGGAGTTTTGATAAGGTTATAACTGCGAGATCTGGTGTCTTAAGCCACGAGGGAGTGAGGTATGGCAGGCATTAAACTCACGACTTTTTCCAATAGTGTGAATAAATCCTCGAGTGTCGCGAAATGTAAAGGGCATGTGGGACCTGACATAGTTTATTGCTGATTGAAGACGGAAATGTGAATCAAGAAACCGGTGGTGACAGTGATTACGCGATATTAAACTTACTTCAAGGGATACATTCTTTCATTTCGAGTTAAAACGTGGAAGAGATTCAAGGGCCGATCCCACCAGAGCGAATGGCAGATCCCTCTTGACCAGTGGTTGGTTAACTTTTGTGTAAAGTTGCTTGTTGACGATGTCGATACCGGTGAAGACATGTCAGGCTTTCCTTCACCAGACGAGGGACATAAACGCAGCCAGCGTTCTGGTGTAAATGGTCTTAATCACTTTCTATATGCAAAGAAAGGTTGGGTTTCGAGGAATTTCTTGTAACATAATTGTTGAGCTAACTTCCATTTCGAGTGAGTGTGTTCGGTGAAGAGATTCGAAGGTCGATTCCACCAGAAAACGATGGCGGATTCCTCTTGACCAGCTGTCGATTGGCTTTACTGGAAGATTAATGCTGACGATGTTTTAGAGGTAATCTCCTTAGATTCCGATGAAAAGGTGCTAAGCTTTCGTCCGTCATATGACGAACATCATTAGAGCAAGGTATCATCGTTGCAGCCAAATTCAAGCTAACAAGTCAAGAAAACTCATTGGCAAATCCCTAAAATGTGGTATATATACTCTACATCTGGCCTCTTTGAGCAAGTATAAAGTGATTTAGTTAGTTAAGGTCATATGTCAACTTCGATGCCTGTGAGTATGCCTGTCTCTGTATGTGTATGTGCCTGTTTGTGTTCACTTATGCACAAAACCCGCAGTGATGTCTCAACTAGTCTTGTATTGTCTTGGTTCTAATCATAGTCACTTCTATGTATGTTTAGCTCACTCTTTCTCTCTCGCATTAAGAAATAAACAAAAAAAAGAGTTAGCAACAAAACCAGACGAGTGTCTGATCTTGCGTAATCGAAGTGATGGTTAAAACATGTATGAAGAATGGGGTAGATAAGGGTCATGAAACCTTGATGGTCAGAAGCAGACGTTCCTTTTTGCTGTCTTAATTACTTTGAGCCATCACTGCGGGTTTCGTTCATAAGCGAACACAAACAGGCACGTACACATACAGAGACAGACACACTCATAAGCATCGAAGTTGACATAGGACTTTAAGTAATCAAATCACTTTATACTTGATCAAAAAAGCCAGATGTAGAGTATATATACCCCTTTTTAAGGGTTTGCCAA